ACTTTTCTTTTTCAGTTAAAAAATGCAGTAAGGATTTTGACAGAGGCTTCTTGTACAACAGGCCCTTTTAGTTATCTACCAAGGCTCTGTCTTGCTAGTTTTTGACAGTGCTACACCTAGAAATTGTGGTGACGTCATCTGGCTTTGTTTTTATTACTGTTTGTAATGATTTGACAAAACAAAGCAAAAATCATGTGCTGTCAAAATTATTAGTCTCTGTGATTGCACCTGTGTTCCTAGAAAGCCCTTTCCTATGCAAGTCTATATTTACAGTGCCTTTATTTATTTCTACACTTAAAACCATTCTGTCTAGAATACATTCATTTGTCCTGTGTGGAGAGAACCAATTCCTGGCTAAAAAGGCAGAGACTGTCAGAGTGGGATTCCCTAAATGATCCATTCTTCCTACCACAAAGCACCAAACCTTTCATGTGTCTAAATGACATCTGCCCTTTCAGCACGAGGGCAGAACTAAGATCATCAACATGCAATGAGAAAGACAACAAGGAGCACAGTGTGGCAGCATCACATCACCGCCGCAGAGTAAGTCTGCAGCTCTCAACCACTTCCCAACATGGGAGAAAGGAGCTACAGAAGGCCACACTGCCCTGAGCTCTATTTATGAAACAACACAGAAGGAGCAGGCATTTTTACTTCCAAGGCAGACACCATGGCACCCGACAGGGATGCTGTGTAAAATAGTCAGAGAACCAGATAAACACAACTTGGATGCCCATGGAATTCCAAAGAACTCCCATGAATGTTGGGACTACAGAAATAACAGTGATGGTGTGGTATATGACATTGTCCTCATAAAAGGCAGGCATGTTTTATTTAGAGCCTGTGTTGCCTAGAATCTCATGGCGTCATGACCTCTAAATAAATCACAACGGCCAGGCCCCAGGGAAGGTGGCTCCTAGGTTTCCCTGGGTTTTGCTTTGAGAATTTCACAGAACTCAAACACCCTGGGTGGGGACGGGGAATCACCTCTAAAATAAAACCACGAAAAGTTTTAACAGCAAGGACGGTCAACCTTATCAGCCCTAGCAGCAGTAGCCGCTTCCATTTGAAAGCCTGGGATGAAAACATTCTACACGGTCAAAATGATTCCCGCCCTGGGATTTATCTGCTAAACATCCCCATGCTGCCAAACAAGAAACCCAAGCTCTGGTGAGGCTTAGCAAGTAGCCAAAGGTCAGGACACAAATAGAAAGCAGAAGAGCCAAGATTTACACCAACGTCCAGGCCTCACAAGGTCATTATCTTCTGTTCTTCGTTGTCTTCTGAGGTAATGGGATTTCTTTAAAATAAGTGTTAAACTAAAATAATGATAGACCAGTTTGAATACTATTTCACCCTCTAAAAAAAAAAAAAAGAGGCTGGAGAGGTGGCTTAGATGTTTAGAGTACTACTATTTCTTCAAAAGACCAGGCTTCAGTTCCCAAACCTACATGACCTCCCCACAACTGTTTGTAACTTCAGTTCCAGGGGATCTGATACCTCCTTCCGCCCTCTCGGAGCACTGCATGCATGTGGTAAACTGACATGCATCTAGGCAAAATGTAAAATTAAAAAAAAAAAAAAATGAAACCAATTTGTTGAAAATCAAGTGCCCAGAGAAGTGTGGGTTTATTTCTGGGTCTTCAGTTCAGTTCCACTGATCAACCTGCCTGTTTCTATGCCAAAACCATACGGGGGGGGGGGGGGGGGAGCATCTTCAACAAATGGTGCTGGTCTAACTGGATATGTCTGCATGCCAAAATAAGTGCATATATACTTGTTTTTAATCACCTTGCACAAGACAAAGTGGGGAAGAGCCTTGACTTCATTTGCACAGGAGACAACTTCCTGAACAGAACACCAACAGCACAGGCTCTGAGATCAACAATCAATAAATGGGACTTTTTGAAACTGAAAAGCTTCTGTAAGGCAAAGGACACTGTCATCAGAACAAAATACACATATTGGGAAACAATCTACACAAGACAGGGGGCTAATATCTAAAATATACAAAGAACTTAAGAAATTAAATATCAACAAATCAAATAACCCAATTAAAAATGGGGTACAGAGCTAAACCTAGAATTCACAACAGAGAAATCTGGAATGGCTGAGAAACACTTAAAGAAATGTTCGATGTCCTTAGCCATCAGAGAAATGCAAATCAAAATGACTCTAAGATCCCATCTTATACCCATCAGAATGGCTAAGATAAAAAACTCAGGTGACAATGCATGCTGTAGAGGTTGTGGAGAAAGGGGAACCCTCCTCCATTGCTGGTGGGAATGTAAACTTGTACAACCACTCTGGAAATCTAATGCTTTCTCAGAAAACTGGGAATAGCTCTAACTCAAGACCCAGCTATCCCACTCCTAGACATACACCCAAAAGATGCTCCACCATACAGCAAAGACACTTGCTTAACTGTGTTCACAGCGGCTTTATTCATAATAGCCAGAAACTGGAAACAACCTAGATGTCCCTCAACCAAAGAATGGATAGAGAAATTGTGGTGCATTTACAAAAAGGAATACTACTCCGGTATTAAAAAAAAAAAAAAAAGGAAATCATGACATTTGCAGACAAATAGATGGAACTAAAAAAAAAAAAAAAATCTTAAGTGAGGTAACCCCAACCCAGAAAAACATAGTACATACTCACTTATAAGCAGATATTAGACCTATAATATAGGATGGCCAAAGTACAATCCACAGACCAAAAGAAGCTAATTAACAAGGAGGATCCGAGAGAGGGTGCCAGAATGTCACTCAGAAGGGGAAAGAGAATAGACAGCAGAAGCAGATGACGAGAGGGAACTGGGCAGGAGATGGAATGGGGAGGGAGACGGGTGGAGATCTGATGTGGGAAGAACAGGGCTGGGAGCTGAGAGGGCTGGGAACACAAAGGGAAACTGAGGGGGGACATCTCTTTGTCAAGCTGGAGGCCTGCAAAGGGGTAGGCTCCTGGGAGGGCATGAGTGTGAGTCTAGCGGAGACTCCTACCATGGGGGGACATGAAGACTGAAGTGACCATCTCCTAGCCAGGCAGGACCAGTGTAAGGAGGAGAACACCACCCACTTAAAAAACCTTTGGTCCAAAAATTACCCTGCCTACAAGAAGTACAGGGATAAAGAGGGAAAAGAGATTGAGGGAATGTCCAACCAATAATCAGCCCAACCAGAGACCCACCCCACAGTAGAGAGCCAACCCCTGACACTATTAATGATGCTCTGCTATGCTTGCAGACAGAAGCCTAACTTGGCTGTAGTCTGGGAAGCTCCAGCCCGCAGTAGATGCTGGGACAGATGCTGGGACTTGGAGACAAGCATGGGGCAGAGCTCCAGGGATCCTATGGGAAGTGTTGGGAGAAAGATGGAAGGACCTGGAGGGCTCAGGAGCCTCAGAAGAAGACCAACAGAGACAACTAACCTAAACCCATCAGAGACCGAGACCACAATTAAGGAGCATGCATGGTCTAGACCTAGGTCCCCTGCACAGATGTGGCCAATGGTTGGCTTGGTCTTCATGTGAGTTGCCTGGCAAGTAGAGTGGGGGGAAAGGAAGGGCAGTTCTAACATGGACTCCATTGCCTGCTTTTGGATCACTTTCCCCTGACAGCGCTGCCTTGCCTGGCCCCAGGGTGAGGATATGCTCAATACTGATATGACTAGATGTGCTGGGGAGGGTTGATAAGAGGGGAGGGGAGCTGGAGGGAAAGGGAGAGAGAAAGGAAGAAGGAGGGAAGAGAAGATTGGAAAAAGGAGAGAGGAGTGAGGCACCTTTGGGATACAAAGTGAATAAACTATAATTTAAAAAATTAATTAAAGATTTAAATTTAAAAATAAATTAATTAAATAAAATCTGAGGTTGACCAGAGTATGGTCGGTGCTTTTAAGTTGTGAATCACACCAGAAACTAGTATGAAGCTTTTTTAAAATAATAATAATAATAATAATAATGTGGTTATCTGAGTGCCAATAAAACACATGTGCTTTAGTTTATTAATACCATTTTAAATAATCTGTCACAAGAAAGTTCCCCATCTTTGACAGAGCCGGTTGTAAAATGGCTCATGGTGGAATCATCATGCACGTGACGTAGGACCACACCAAATATCCAAGAGGTTAACTGTCACTACACGTACCCAGGTGACTCATTAAAACTGACCACCACGTACTACGTGCCAAGACGGGGTTTCTGGATTCGCAAGTATTTTTACCCAAAAAGCAACACACGGCGACGTTTCCTCGTTAGGCTGAAGCGAACGCCAGGTCTGCCTCGAGTTGTGAAAACAAATGACTGCCGTGCTTACACCTAAGGGAAAACACCCGGCTCACAGCTGCACCCTGTGCTGACAGCACGACAGCCTGGAGAACAGCGAGCTTCCACGCCGCAACATGGCCTCTCTGTGCGGATGCGCAATGGGCTTAGAAGCCACGAGACAGGCGCGCGTAGGGAGTGCGTGGCTGACTGCATGACACAGGAATGCTGATGATTACATTTTCATCAGATCTGTAGCAACTCAAGAGCAACCATGAGACTCTCCAAGTAGTTAAATGGGTTTAAGCTGTAGGCTGCCTTAGAAATGTATGTCCAACCAACTGTGTGTGTAGCGGGGAAGCCAGGGAAATAGAAAGCTGCTGAGCTAACACAAGGTGTTGAAAGCGCTATCTTAAGACAATATTACGATTAAAAGTGATCCAATTTAAAATAACATTTATATTAGAAGTGTCATTTTTTTATTTCACATGAACTATATTAAGAACATCATTTTAAGCTAAACTTAACTATATAATAAAATGCCCTCTTTTGTGTTAGATGGCTCGTCAATCATGCTCTCCAAATGACCATGTCAGAAGCAGTGATTTACACCTTAAAGCCTGAATTTTAACTTAAAAGCATGCCAGTGAAAGTCATTATAAATAAATTTTAGTATGTTTCGTCATTACTTTTTAAGTGGAAATTTTTTTAGTCTATTCATGCTTAAAGTGATCACTTGCCTGAATTAAAAGCTGTAAATAGACTCTTTCTTGAAGGACCTAGAATGTGAAAGAAACATAAAACACACATTTTATTGGAAATACTATGCAAAACTCAAGCCATTTTGTAAATAAGGGTGGTCTCACTTTCCAAAAGCCCTCTGTTAATCTCTAAATTTTAGGTTCCAGCTGTTCACTAAGAAAATCCCAAGATGCAAACAACTTTATCAAATATAGATCATACTGTAAATACCTAATTTGTTAGTAACAAAACTGATATAAATTAACTGTCGAGAACAAAGTATCAATATTAAAAGGACAAAGCCCTGTGCATCTTGCAGTCAACGACATCTAGAGTACAGTTAAACTTTAGCTAATTTGTGTATCATTTACTCTAGCGTCTGCATCCCAGGCCCCACAGAATAGGAGCGCTCTCCAGCACGGCACTACACGCCAGCCAGTCTTTTAGCAGGATTGATCTCATGCTTTCCCTACTCTGCTGCACACGGGAAACAGGCTACACTTTGTGGGCGAGGGCTGCTGGTGTTTGCCTTCCCAAGGGGCAGCCTTCTGTTCAGCTGTGAAGGAAAAAATACACTGGAGCTTTTTTCTCCAGGCTGATGCAATATAAAATGCAGCCAGGAACCAAACAGACGCTTGGAGAGCTGTAAGAACCTGTACCTCGACAGCAAACAGTCATCAAGTGAATGACCATCTGCAGGCGGCTGGTTAGAACTGCCATACTCCATCTCTGGAGTTTCAAAAAGAAGATAATCTCTTAAAAGTATGTGGCTGTCGTGAATGGAAAGCACTGACTCCTCTCCAGTAAAACCTCTGTGAGACACGCACGGATTGAGCAGTAGGGCTTTCAGAACACTGGCGTGGTCTGTTTTGCAATTATCAGTGGGGTCTCCGATTCTCCTCTAAAAGTCACCTCGGGATGAAGGCTCCATGCACAGGGTTGCTACTTTCGGGGGTAGTTTGGGGCTTTAAAAGTTATGATTAGAATCCACAGTTTCAGATATTAACTATATTAATCCTAGCAGGGGTCATGCGGTGCCTCAAAGCTGCATATAAAACACGTAAGACCCTGATGGCACACTACATAATCTATCCCCAACAGGACTCCCCCTGCCCTGTATTTTTGTTTTTTTTCCCCTTCAACCCAGCAGAAAGAAGAAGAAAAAAGCATTGCTAAATGTAGACTAGGTCAGCAACCTCAAGTTATCACATGGCCTTTTACATATATGCCAGCACACGTACGTACAGATCACATGGCCTTTTACATATATGCCAGCACACGTACGTACAGAGTTGAAACCACTGTGCTCACAAAACCACACTTGTATGCAGAGAGAAAACAGAGGGAAATGCTGTGGTGCCTGGTGGCTGTCCTTCCAATTTTCTCATACCAATACGGGTCTCAGTCAGTCACCCTCCCAGATAAGCATGCTTACAAGGATCTCTGAACAGAGTTTCCCAGCTGTGACAGGCTGCATGGAAACGCTGCAGGCAAATACACACTGCACACTGCATGGTCTCTCGATAGCCACGGCAATTGCGATGTGAACGACACAGAAGGATCAGACACAGGGCTGGGAGAAAAGATGAACAGGGCCATGGTGTTGGAACAAGCGGGGTAACAGACACGAACCCCAGGCATGGGCAGGAAAGAAGCCAGGTTCCTTGTTCCTTTCTCTCGTCTAGAGGGTCAGCCTGGGATAGCTGAGTTCTAGCTTTATCTGTGAGCTTCTCCGACATCTCTGTTCTACCTGCTGACTTCTTAATTTTATGCGATGGCCGTTTTGCCTGCCTGGATGTCTGTGTGCGTGTGTGTGCAGTGTCTGTGCAGCCCAGGAGAAAGATCAGAAAGAACTGGCGTCGCAGATGGTTGTTGGCTGCTCTACGGGTGCCGGATGCAAGACCAGTCAGTGTTCTCACCCGCTGAACCATCTCTCTAGCCTCTACCTGCTGATTGTCACTACTAGGCTCTATCTATAAAATTTACAGACTCTTGGAACATCTCATTGTTAAACTTCATTTCATTTTCTTACTCAACTGACACTTAAACAAAAACTGTCAAATATACCATAAACCCACTCATCAAAATTTAACTTACTAAAGCCAAGGAGTTTAAATTTCTTTTACTTTCTCCTAATCACAGTGAAGACAATACCTTTTGGAGGAGTTTTGAGCAAGTGTGCATGAACTCTGGGCACCAAAGGCTTCAAATATAAGGATCCTGTCCCATTCTGAAATGCTTGCTTGGGAGGTTTCTCTTCATACTTGATGATGGCAGCATTACCAGCTAGAACAAAAGTGGAAAAGCACATCTTATTTAATACACAAATACAATAGCAGTCCCCAATTATTTGTTCCTATGACAACAATTACTGAGTGTCAAGAGTGCAGAGGCAGCTTCCGGCCTCAAGTGTACAAAAGGAAGGAAGGAAGGAGGGAGGGAGGGAGGGAGAGAGAGAGAGAGAGAGAAAGGAAAGGAAAAAGAAAAGGGGAAAGGAAAGAAAAATGAAAAGGAGAAAGGAAAGGGAAAAGGAGAGGAAAGAAAAGAAAAGGGAAAAGGAAAGAAAAAGAAAAAGGAAAGGAAAGAGGAAAGGAAAGGAAAAAGGAAAGGAAAGACAGAAAGACCTACATTTTGTGTCTTGGCATAGTTCAAGTTTACGTACATTTCTAGCTTGGCTTTTATGCCAGATAGAAGGTGGAAGATGAATGGCTACCCATGCTGTGTAACAAACACACTCAGTGCATACACAGGAAAGCAGCCCTTTCAATGAGGTCTATGCAGATAATAAGCAGCTGATGTTAATGAAACTAAAAAAAAAAAAAAAAGTAGCAGATAAACTCCTCAGTGGCTTCAGCAATGAGGTCTCCACACCCGCTGGACTGAGAAGCTAGACTGCCAGCATCCGCCCTGTCACAAAGGCACCCAGCCTCAAAGTGAAAACACACACAAGACTCACTCTCACCTAAGGAATGAAAATGGTCCAGATGAAAACACAAAATTTCCCCTGCACTAACAAACCTGATCTTTTATTTCTCTCTAAGACACTGTCAACACATAATTATAGGTAACCAGTTTCACTATCCAGTTCAATATGTAAAGTAATAATTTTGTTCTAACACAGAATCTCCACATGAATTTATGTTGTCACCCTGGGAAAGGACCACGTTAGCATCTCTGTATCCCTTCAGTTTTAGTGTATGAGCTGTGAATCAAGAGTGTAAGCGGCTTTATTAGCAACTTTGACCCCTTTCCTCACACTCTAGCAAACAGTGATAACATTTCTCTTGCTCTTGAAAAAAACAGTAAGTTTTTCACTCAGCTAAATGGCCTCAGTCCCCATCAACAATGCTTACACACATCACACACTCTCCTGGTCCTCACCCGGTGCCTGTACAGGTGCCTGTACACGGAGCCATCTGTTAACTCTCCTTGTGCCCAGATAACACTCCTAAGATTAGACCAAACAAGCCCACCCTCCCGCTGGCAAGCTTCTGCCTAGTTTCTGTCCTCGCACAGAAGTAGGGAGTAGGGCATTCCAAGCTTGGCAGGCGGCTAGTGAACGTGGCAGTCTAACACTTGACTTAACACTCTAATCGGCACGTGGGGAACCAACCACACCAGCATTTCAGAGCATGTATTTTAAGACATTCTCGAGAAGTGGGCGCTGGATTTCAGCAGGGGCTTAAATCACTTCGCCCAATCAGCGATGTTCCTCTCATCAACAGTTAGATGTCAGACTTGCTTTTCTTGGAGCAGCTTTTGATCTACCCAGCAGCAAGTTAGGTCACTTGTCCTAATTCTGAACAATGAAATTCAGTTCAGTTTATGAACAGGCTATAGAGACGACTCTGGATGCACATTTTGCTTTTCTGAACTTTAGTCACAAAGGACTCTCGCTTACGAAGAACTTAGCAAAAGAATTTCTCACGGAAATTCTTTTGTAGGCACTGTCCTAGACCGAAATAAACTACTCTTGAAGACTCTCTGTGAACACAGATCTAGCTCCAGATTCAGTCAGCTTTGGAACACATCAGACTCAGAATCCATATCTCAAGGGTCTCAGACACAAAATATACCTATTTACATTCTCAACATTCTTACATATTTATACGGAATACGTGTGTAGGAAAATATTCACACTCCATGATTATCCATTGTATGAGCACCCAACTCTACCAGACATAACAAGCTGATCACACTTTTACGACCTAACACTTAGGTATTCCCCCAATTTTCTGAGCACGCTACTCTGGGCTGGCCTGCCGCTGTTCAATAAATTCTGACTTGAAGGTTGAATACTGCTAGGAGGCAGGAGGCTCCTGACAGTTTCTCCTTCCTTCTAGCCACTTCCTAGCATGGTGGCTGGTCCAGCATCCTGTCAATTTCTGTTTCCTCATTGTAACTATCTGACTATGCTAGAAAAACGTATTTTTTCTAGAGTCTTTATTTTCATATCCCTGGCCCAGGGTATGTTGCAAGAAGCGGGGATGACAAAACCTAAAAGAATGCAGTGAATGTTTCAGGAAAAATCTTAGCAGAAGAAGCAGTTTCCCTGCTCACAAAGAGCTTTCTCGTTGGTCCCAATGCTGACGTGTCAACTAGCATTTCTTACTACATTCTGGCATCTAGTTGAAATGAGTTTTTGTTTTATTAAACTACATGTTATCTGCACAGAGACAACTACTCTGCTCGTTTCTGGGATTTTTTTGTGAATCGGCTTAACATTGTCCACTGTGCCAGATCATCTGCCTACCTGGCTTAAATGTCAAATCATCACTGAGGTCTCAACTAGCAAGGTTCAAAAAACAAAAATCATTCAACTTTGTAATTCCAAGGATGCCCCATACACACAATAGAAAGATACTGAAAAGAGCACAAGCAAGGTTAAAAGTTGTCTGCATATTTTCTCATGAATTAGTCCACTCAAAGGGGTGTGAAAACTGACATGTCTTGTAACATGGAGCCAGCACCATTCACTGCCAAGCTCTCTCTATTCTTTGCCTGTGTCAGACATTACTAGCCAAACGAAAATATTTTCCTCTGAGCCTGGAGGCAGCCCGAGAAAGGATCAACGCTATTGGTTCTTATCAATTGCCTAGTGTTGACAAACTGTGACCATACTCACTAACCATTCTTGCCACAAGAAAAACAAAACTGCGGATCAAGAAGATTCATCCTTCCGTCTGCTTAGTCAGTTGGGCAAATCAAAGCACTTTCCCTCCAAATGATGAGGCGTCGTCTTACTGTAGCAAGGAAAAAGAGTCAGAGGCATACAGATGGGAGGATGGTCCAGGTCTCCCTTCTGCTAATCGGATTCAAATACTGAGGCCAGGAGATGCCTGTCCAGCTCGTTGTGAGGTAGTGGAAACTAGAGCAAGCCCCAGGTGAACAATGCCCTTTCCTATAGATCACTTCCTGTCAGCCAGGCTGCCAACAAAGTGAAAGAGAGGATGGCCCACTTCTTTATTTAGTCCTTCTCATCTCCTACTGCTGATAAAGTACAAACAAATCTGGTTTGCATCTCTGCAACTGCCCCACACCATCTGTCTCTCAAAAATAAACATGCTTTTGTGGTCAAAGGGAAAGAGGAAGGAAGTCTCTTAGTCTTCATAGTCCTGCTAGTGTGGCAAAACTACTTTCTCAAGACCTGCTTCCAAATTACACAATGATCTGTCTCATCTGGTACAGAAAACCACTGTGCAATCTTTACACTAATACCCAAAGGAAGTTATTTGAACTTTAATTTTTTCTATGCAATCTTAAAAAAACAAAAACAAAAACCTGCTTAACTCTCAGATACGAAAAACTGCCTTACACATCTTCGTTCAACCAACTTATAACTTGTTAATGGTGTTTCCAAGGACCCCCATGTACCAAGGGGACCAGATGCCAATTTCCCAATGGCACTATGCTATCTGTGAAGTTCCTAACTGATGCCACTAGCAATACAACACCCCTCCCAAAAAAACAGGCAGAAGAAGCAAGCATCACCCCCAAAGAGACTCCAGAGTGAAAGTTGGTCAGGGTCATAATAACCAGATAAAAATTATTTCCTAACGTGACCCCTCCACACCAGCAGCAAGATGATTTGGGCTCAAAATGTTTTTTTTTTCATATTTTAAAGTAGTTTAAGAAAGATATATTTAATACTCTTATATGAGTCATATATTAATTATAATTGAAGACGACAAAAAAAAAATCTGATGCTTTCATTTAAATTCTAAGGAAATCTTTTTCCACATTTACACAACTGCCAGTCACATACACAAAAGTCACTTGCTGTTTTATCAGAAATTAAATCATCAAATCATCTTTGGTGATAGTGTAATATCACACCAAGAACAATAGGCTGAATTGTAATTTGCTTAAGCCCCCCCAAAACACAGAAAATACACAGTAAGATTGGTTCCCAACAAATCCATTCCCATCTTAAACATTCATAAATACAACCAAGAAACACCAGAGTCAACATAAATTACAAGCAACAAAGCTAATAACCAAGAGGTCCTAAAAACCAATTTATTTAATGAAAATTTAAGCATGCTTACAAAGCAAAGAATCAAACGAGAAACCGTCGACCTACTTCTTTTCCTAGTAAGCGTGGCTAACAAAGGAATTATACAAAGGCTGTAGGATCCCACGACCAGCAGTGCCAATAAGGTAGCATCATACTGCCTTTCTGAGCCAGCCGGGGGTGTGAGGGTAGAATTGATAAAGATCTTTGACGAGATATCAGTTTCTGTACAGCTGCGAAATCCTCCTGGTATAGTCATTTAAAAAAGGATCAACGCAAGCTCAGGCAGGAAAAACTGCAGCCATGTTCACGCTCACATCCCTGATGCTTGCTCTCAGTCAGTTAGAGTGGGGAGGGGGAGAAGTGGGAGCTGAAAGGCACTACACGGAACAGATTAAACCGGCTAGCGAATCAGACTAAAAGAGACTCACGGATGTGAATGCTTAAGCTGTAAGAGGGACACGGGGCCACCACACAGGCTCTGTGGGTGCGCGGCAAACCCTTTTGTCAGCAGACAAAAAGGAAGGACAAAGGCATTTCGCAACCCCCTTGGAGGGTCACACACACGACTCGGACTATGGCCGAATCAACATGGCTGTTCGACAGAAAACACTGGACATGATATTACGGAATGCGTCTGCTTCAAGAGTCACAGATGCCATCATTATGGCTTTGGGGGTCCGTTGGTGATTCTGTCTGGATAGCATGTTTTTAAAATGTACACAATGGGACAAAGAAGTCTAGATGGGAGACTACTCTAGAATAATACATA